GCGGTTATCGCTTCACTTACGGTTGGGATAACCGTTGTTCCCACATTCGTATGTGGGATTTCGCCATTGTTTGGCGGATTCGCCATCGCTTCTCTTCTTCTGGCAGTATTGGTATTGTTAGTGTATATTCTACCACTTCTCAATAACATTCAATACTTCTCGAAAAAGATGATATTCTGTATAAATACGGTTAACCTTCAAAATCAACACAAGGTCCCACCAGGTGTGCCAATTTGTTTACCGTGGAAATTGGTAAACAACCGCTGATCCTCCAAAAGGTTACTTATTTGGTGACTCGCAGGATCGATCAGATTGATCCTAAGACATGGTTGATTTTTGGGGTTTTGACTAAGTTTAATGATGGTTAAATGACAAGAAAATAAAGACGCTTTATGTAAATTACATGAAGGAAAAAACTTGGTAGAATAAAAGAAAGCTTTAAGTAAAGGCTTCGACTGGGAAAAGTAAATGAAAAGCAATAAAGTTCTGGAAAATAAATGACTTTGATTAATTAAAATGGTGTTTCACACATACATTCTCAACAATTCTTTCGCTCACACTGGGTACTTGAATCTATATGAGTGACTTGTATATAATTGTGAACACACGCGAAAAACTACGTGAACAACTAGTATTTATACTAAATACATCTCAAGTAACCGTCGGGCAGTTATGCTGCTTCGAGATGACTCCACTTGGCATGCTCACAGCATTCGACGCTCCTGATCTTGGCACGTTGCACTTGGTAACCGCCGGGAACTGTTTTCCCTCCAAACATTTGAATATCAAACCGTTCCACTCTGAGCGTCGAATACCTCTATCGAGAAGCACCTTCGACGTCGAAGGCAACAGGATTCTTACTTAGAAGAAATTCTCCAAGTACCTTGCCATCTTCTGATGAGCATTTCGACAGAATCAGCTGATCGAAACCGTCCCTCATGATTAATGGTTTATATTAATAAAAACAAGGGTGTCGAGTTTAGGAGCCAACAATATGTAGAAGATATATAGATTCATTTAGGATTCTTCATTGTTGTTGTTTGTAGAGAATATAATAGCTCTAGAAGATAACAGTATGTACATTTGGTGCATATTTATTGGTTTATAAAGTTGTATATGTAAATATTTAAATTTATGTATATATAAATTATTGAATTCTTTAAGTTGTATCTCATTTATGTATATGTAAATTGTTGGCTTAAAGTTGTATATATAAATATGTAAATTTGGTGCATACTTATTGGATTGAAGCTTCAAAATTATAAAATATGGTGCAAATTTAAAAGGCAGCGCTTAAATTTTAAGTGATTATGTGTACAGGACGCTTAAAATATAAGCCGAATATATTAAAAAATCGATGAATATTAGACAGCGCTTTAAACCAAAAAGTGCTGCCTGTGATGGGGAATAGAAAGCGCTTGTGAAATAACAAGTGTTGCTTTAAAGGGGACTTTAGAAAGCGCTTCAAAATAAAGCGCTACCTAAAATATAAAAAAAAAAGAGAAAAAAAATACATTAGACAGCGCTTTCTGAAGCGTTGTCTAAAGTGAAAGCGCTGCTATAAGCACACTATAGAAAGCGCTTATAATGTTAAAAGCGCTGCCTATAAAGGCATTTAGAAAGCACTTATTCAATAAAGTGTTGTCTAAAGTCTATATTAAGCAGCGCTTTCACATAGACAAAAAGCGTTGTCTATGGTTACAACAGGGTAGGAATAAGCAGCACTTATAAGCGCTGTCTAAGACAAAAAAAGTGTTGTCTATTCCCTTATATGGCGTAGTGAAGGTTGCTTCTAATTCAAACATAACTCTAATATAACTCACCTTCGCCATATGTGAGGAAATTTCTTCAAAGTCAATACTTTTCATAATTGAAATCTTTCAGAACCAATCTTGCTTTGTATTTTAGTTGGAATTAATTCTCTTCAGATTTTATCTTGTATACTTATTTGTCCTTGAATGCTCTTCTGCCCTTAGGCAATTTCACCTAATCAAATGTGTAATTCTCGTGCAAGAAATGCATCTCTTCTTGTATGACCTTCAACCACTATATTTACCAACATTTGAAATGACCTCTTGGTAGTGTTTAGACTCTCCGCTATTAGTGATATCACTTACTACTCCCGTGGAGAATATCTTTGAAAAATTAGATACTCTCTAGTAGATATTCTCAACTCAAGCTCAATCGATGGCTCGGATGGAACCTCTTCAACGGACCCATCATAATGAGAATTTTGGTCATTAGTTAAATTATCATCATTATTTATACATCTCCCTCATCTACAAAAAAAAAAATTATTAGAAAGTTTAAGCACAACATTCTAACATCAAATTTTGCCTTCTCGACATTATCAAAATTTTAAATAATTCGATCTTCAACAAATTCATGAAAGAAAATTAATATATAAGAATATTTGCCGTTGATTTCTCCATAGTATTCTAATGATTCAATAAACCCTCAAAGCTAATAGTTTTTTACCAATTGGAAGCAAAACATATAACTTATGCTTTTCTTGTCACTGTCCTTTCTTGTCAAGGATTTGATTCCAAGCCAATATGAATGAGCACAAGGAGAGGCAGATGAGTTACATTAACAATCTCATAAAGGTGTTACTTACCCATCAAATGTCACAATGTTTAATATTTCAAACATGTGTTTTTCTAAAGCCAAACCGTACATGCAGCCTCAGTTGCTTATGTAGTACAACACTTTGTGCCAATTGGTCGTTGTCTCAATCACAAAAATATGAGTTTGCAAGCAAACAAAAAAGGCTGCTACCTTCATGAAAAGGAAATTAAATGGTTACTTTACTCGTAGCATTGTGAGATTAAATCATATCTAATATAATAGCAATTTTAGTTGGTTTTAGAATTTGGTTAACTTCTTGATATTTTAATAGACTTCATCATATAATTAACAATACTTTAGTTTTCTAGTATATAGTCATGGAATCTTAACCTTACCTAACATTTTCATGACAAATTCATATGTCACCTAATTTAGCTAATACTTTAAAATAAAATTTGACATTTTCATGACAATTTCAATGTCATTGTGAAATAATATTTTAAAAATTGAGTCGAAAATTAAACTATTAGTTTGGTCATGATTCAACTAAAAATAAAAAATAAAATATCACATATTTTTATTATATCGGGTTCAAAATAAAATTTCTGCAATTGTGTGTGAGTTTAAGTTGATTATTTTTATCATTTTGTCTATTTCGAAGGGAAAAAATTACAAATTTATTTTGAAATTCATAAACTAGACTCAATTATTAATTATTAAGGTGAAGCATTATGATCTTAACAAAGATACAAAGGAAAAAACTTAAAGAAAGGAAGGACCCATGGCCAACTATGAAAAAGCAATTGTTTCTAAAAATACTGGGAACATTAGTTTGTGGTGTCATATCAACCATGATAAAAAAAAAAATAACACTGTAATATGGGACACATGAGACATCACAAGTACATTTGATTCAAAATTTCACTGGGAATATCATAAAGGGGATCTGTAACTAATAAATTACATTGGTTTATTTCGAAAATTCCAAAGAAAAAAGTGATGCTTTGTATATATGAAATGAATGACATTGTTATTAGTTAGTGACATTGAAAGTGGTGACTCTATAGACATTAAGTTTTATCTCAATTAATAAATGTTTATGATGTTAAGTTGAATAACAACACTTAACTTTTAACTCGGAATATCATAATTATGTAAATTTTTAATTTGTAAGCTCCGATTTCCATTGATGAAAAGAAGATCATGCATCGAAAGTGATGATAAGGATCTCTCAAAATCAGTTGAGAACCAATTCTAAATGTTCAAATCAAAATAGAAAGAGCATAAAAGAAATTGGTGAGTGTCTTCAAATCCTATCACATATGGTAGTGGTTAATTTGAATATGCAAAGATGGTGAGTTTCTTCAAATATGAATATCAACTTGCTCATTAAATAAGTTGACAATGTGGACAAGTCTATATCCTATCACATAAACAACAATAGTGCAGCAACAAGACAAGGACCAAAGAGTTTCCTCAAAGATAATGCAAATCCGCCAATAGGTTTAAGAAATTCTGAATACCACACCTTTTTTATAAGACAAGTCCATTTTATATCAATACATTATTCTTAAATTGAAAAGTAAGCTATCATGCCTTAACCTATAGACATGAATATACCACTAAAAGCCAAATACAAGTAAAAAAAAAAATGTAGAGACACATGTGAGAAGACAATAATAAAGTCGTTGAATTAATTTAACGATTGATCATCGCAGATTTTAGATTAATTCGTTGTAGAATTTGAATATATATATATATATATATATATATATATATATATATATATATATATAATTTAAGAGAATTAATCATATCATCTATTTGTGTGGTTTGTCTAAATTAAGAATAAAATATATATAAATTTGATTCATAGAAATTGTTTACACTTAACCAAATTTCATTTGCTATCATCACAAATCACACGCATTCATGAAGTTAAATTATTGCGAATCATAAATTCAAATCGGACAACTTACACTCGATTCAACCATCACTAATGTTATGACCACATGAATGCGTGAATTTGTGACCTAAAAAGATAGAAATCGTTGTAGGACATAGAGATTCTAGATCCATAGTAAATTGTATAGTGCTCTACATAAGTTCCAATCAAAGTAGTATACAATACAAATCTTTCTCTCTCCGTCTCTCACTTTCTCACATTCACACAAATAGATGTCTTAAGTTTTAGGTCTCTCAATATTAAGACCTTGTAACTGTAAAATAGTCCTATATGTTTCTATACATAGCACTAAGCATTTATTGTTGTTACAACATTTACAACAAACTTCATCTCTCTTGCAGTTAAACCAAACTTAGATAACAACAATACTAAGCTTATACTTGCATTATATTTCCTATCACATGAGCTTCTAAAGCCATAACCATATCATCTCAAAAACTTGAATCTTCCAAGCCAACAAACTTCTATGGATACTACAAAACAAAAACATGAATCATCTTCTCAACTTGTACTTGATCTAAGTCTCTCTAGCAAAGATTCATGTGACGATGAATCAAAGCCGGAACTAAACCTCCTCAATTGTTTCCATGAAAATTTATTAGAAAGCTCGTCGGAATCAAGTCATGAAAATGAACTTGATCCAAGAGTTTTCTCATGCAACTACTGCCAAAGAAAATTCTACAGCTCGCAAGCTCTAGGAGGACACCAGAATGCTCATAAGCGCGAAAGAACTTTGGCGAGAAGAGGCTATACAACTAGCATGGCTTCTTCTCTTCCTTCTTACGGCTTATGTAACAAATCACTTGGAATTCAAGTGCATTCTATGATTAACAAACCTTCTTATCAAACACAAACACCCTTTTTTGGATTTTGTTCAAATGGACAGAATGGTTGGAAAAGACAGATTTTTGATTCACAGCCAGCAATCGGAAAGCCTCCATCTGGAAACTTTCATGCGAGGAATGAAACTGAACCATCTTTTGGCAGTGGCATTCAAAGGGTAGCTATGTTTCCTAAAAGTCTTGTGAATGAAGAATTTGGACTTGGAGGATACTTATTGGATAACAGCATTTCACATTTGAAGTCTAAACAAGAGAAGTTGCAGAAACTTGACTTATCCCTTAAGCTCTAAATATATTCTCCTCCTCCAACAGACTTGTCATTTGTTCGAATCCGAACAATCATTCATCAGACTTTACTTATCTCCCGGTTGAATTCTAGAAAACCGGAGCGTTGAGACCAAAAAAATAACACATTATTAGCTAAAGAGCTTTCAACTTTTCTTTTCTTCCTTCTTCACTTTTTTGTTTTCATGTATCTCTCTTGTTCAACTAGGTTTGAATGCATTTTGATTACTTACAAGAGGTTCTGATTTGCTGTTATTTGCTTTATGTTTTTGTCATAAAAATAAAATTACTTATTATTACTATATTTGATGAATTTCAAGAAATGATATGAAAGTAATAAAGGTTGATTGGTCTGCATGTGTCTATGATTCATCCAAAAACAAAGGCAGTTATATATATGATAAATTAGAAAGAAAAACAAACAAAAAGTAGAAAAAATAAGTGCTGATATCACTTGATAACTATTTTTTTAATATATTTAGGTCATGCTTTTACTTAGTTATCAACTAATATGAACTATAAATTTTTTTGGGTAAAATAAGTAATATACTCCAACTCATTTAGATTGATTTATTCATGAAAGGTTGAGATTTTTTGCTTTATCTTTAAGGCTTCCTTTAGAGGAGAAAAATCCAAAATGTATGAGCATCTTTTGTTCCCACAATTAAGAACTTGTCTAACACCAAATTTTAATATTAAATATGTGTCGGTGTCTTATATATATGTTTGTAAACAATATACAATTATTTTATGTTGGTATCACGTGTTAGGGTTGTGTATGTAATTCATGAAATGTAATACTACCAAATAGTTATTTAATTTAACTTCTTGCAAAGGAGTAAAAAAAATAGGAATAATTGAACAGCAAGGAGTAAAAAAAATAAATAGGAATGATTGAATTTGAAAGTGGACTAAATGTCAACCTAGGACTATTTGAATCAAGGTAGTACAAGATGTATGTCACATATATTGGGTGACAAAGATCTACTGTAGACATTTGAAAGTTAGTGAGTGTCATATTTTTAGTACTTTTTTGAAAATATTGGTCCACCAAAATGAATGAATATTTTAATGGTTGCAAATGTGTCACTAACTCCTACTTTAACCTACTTGTGGTTGGAGAAATGAACCATCTCTATTGGGATAAAAAAAATTGTGGGGTAAACCATGTGGAAATAAGCCAAATAACACTCAGATATGATATCAAAATCATATCATTTCAAAAGAAAAATTTTACCCTAATGTTTCTTAATAATTAGTTTTTTTAAAATAATTGTTGATTTATACAAATTGTCTACATTGCCAATTAAACAGTAAACCAACAATTTACATTTTTATAATTCAACTAACAAGTACAAATTAAATTACCCTACAATAATTAATTTATTGATCATTTCACACATAAAAAAAAATTTGTACGGGAATATGATATGTTCGGACAGTTTCGAATTTAAAATAGCTCACTTATCACAAGTAATTGGTGTTGAAGCGGTAAAACGGCAAGCAATAAAAGTTTTGGAAATATTTATCCGAAAATTTATCGTGTCCACGGAGATTGGTTATTGATTTGTCGTTCGACAATTTCTCGCGCTTATGAGTTTGGGAAAAGAATGATTTTGTTTATAAGGTGCGGGAATTAAAAGTTATAGACATAAAGAATTTCATTCTTCGATTAGTAAAGAACTCTCGAGTTTGTACTTAGTTTACCCTATCAAATACTTAAATTTATTATCCAGTTGCACTTAACCTTAATTACTCATCAATATCATCATGTATCGCTCACACAGAGGTCATTTCTAACGCAGAGTGAGATATCAACCGTATCGCTTTATGTCGACGATCTCTCAGCACAACATAAACAACACGAAGGCATTAAGAGTCGATACCTAAGTGATTACTAAGCCTCAATCTATCTCTAGAATCTAAGCCTAGTAGATATTCATCCTAAGTCTGGATTCAATATGTCCATCTCTGCAACATCTCAAACCCAAACCCTTAGCAAGCTAAAAAGGATAAACATCAATAAAGATTTATAAAGAATGTTTCATACAACACAATGAGCAGTAAATATACATATAATCAAGGTAAAGTTACATACAAGATCCAACAAATAATAGTTACAAAGAGAGGAAGAGGAGAGAAAACCAAATTTCCCACGGTGTCAACACGATCCATCAAGCTCCCGCCCCCGGATCATCCAATTGCAAACCACAAATGTTGTTTTCTAAGCTCTAAATATCAAAGAATGAAGGTGATGAAGTTTGGGAACAAATATCCCAAAAACCATAACCTAGAAAATGACTAAAATTTATTTTTATAAAACTATTCTCAGCAGACCGCGCTAAGCGGCCTCAGCGCGCTAAACGGGCTGCACAATATTTACACACTAAACTGACCTAAATCGCGCTAAGCGGACTTCAAAACTTTAGTTCTGCCAAAACAATAAACGCAAGCAGCGCACTACAAAATGCGTTGAGCGCCACTCGCGCTTAGCAGCCTCCTGCGCGCTAAGCGGGCTCTCCTAGACAGCAAGTCCCAAAACTGATCTTTTATTCAGGAAATGCGCATCTAGAGTTGTACCTTTAACACCTTATTCCTCGATGCTCCAAATATGCGACAAATACCTACAAAATAGACCAAAACTATCAAACGGTACACTATTTACATAAGAACACAATTATTCACAAAGTAAACGTATTTATAAACAAAGCGGGGAATTATTCAAAGAATATTAACAAAAGTATCAATAAGTGCAACAAAACTTATATACAGAATAGCTACAATTTGCACTTATCGGTGTGTTAAAATTTCACTGATAATTTTTTTAAAACAAAACACACACTCAGAAATATATATATATATATATATATATATATATATATATATATATATATATATATATATATATATAGAGAGAGAGAGAGAGAGAGAAACTATTGGATCAAAATTCTAGTGTCGAGACACTACGCCACATAAGGAAATAGACATCGCTTATAAACGCTGCCTATTTCTGCGCTGCTGTAAGTAAAGACAACGCTTTTTGTCTATGTGAAAGTGCTACTTAATGTAGCTTTTATACAGTGCTTTCTAAAGGCCCTTATAGACAGCGCATGTATCTTATCATAGCTCATGCCAATAGAGCATAGCATTTTTTTGGCATCATAGGTTCGATTAGGAAGAACATTATCCTCCGGAAGCATATCTTCCATAAGGACTAATAACTCTGAAACTTTTATCCGACCATCCATTGTCCGTCTTTAAGTTGTACAACTTTAATACCATAGACAGTCTTGTGAATTTAGTGCAACCTTTATACAACGGTCTCTCTGCATCGCTTACCAACCTCTCAAACATTTTTGGACAATCCTGAAGATCTTCTTCAAGTGCTTCTGCAATCTCTTCGACACGATCATAATCGTATGTATATGTGCCATTATCGTCTGAAGTATATGTCATATTATCCCCCGGTTCAATATTCCTGTTACTTTTCTCACCATGAAATATCCAACACGTATAACTTTGATCAATTCCATTCCTCAGTAAATGCGATTACAACCCAACTGCGTCAACCCGGCCCCCATAACAACAACCCAAGCAAGGACATTTCATTAGATTGGGGTTTCCGGCATGTTCAACAGCAAACTTAACAAATTCTAATACCCTATTCTCGTACTCTTTTGACATCGATTAGAAGACATCCATTTTTTATCCATGGTTTTACTACTAAGTAAGCTCAACAAAAACACTATAATTAATCACGCAGCTATAACAAAAGAACAACTAATTACCTGTAGAGAAGTCAGCAACTTTTGGAACCACACAGTGTAAGATTCTTGGAACGATCATAATTTTACTCTTCACAAGAGAAATCAGAGGTGCAACAACGACTATGAAATCGGGCAGCAGCTACACATAAATAATTAGGTTCACTAATTCTATTTCAAACATGTTTAAAAAAAATGGGTTTTGAGTGTATCTTGTAATATATTCATGAACCTCACTTTGTAAACTCCTAACTTGAGATGTCAATCAAACACTTGAAGTTATTTCCTGAAGCGATCCCTTGAAATTTCGTGAAACGAATCGATACGAATTAAGATATGAAAGTGTGGGCACTTGCACTATTGTTCTGGAAATTAACTAAAGTTCCTTTACAAATGAAATAAAATAGACGAATGATAGCCAACTATGACGTGTCAACCTACAAAAACATAGGACATATAGTAAACTAGAGAGTTTCGTAAACAAGGAGAATGCAAAATGCAACAGAAGAAAACCCAGGGGTCTAGGTTTCACAGAGGAATAAATTAAACAATACACCGATAAGAGAATAATATAAACGAACAACGGCGATGGAGTTAACAACGAGCAACAACAGCATAGCTATAACGAAAATTGAAAACAAAAACCCTAATAACTTGTGAGACTAGTCGTTCCAACATTAGATTTCACGCTACTTTTTTCCAAATTTTCCCATGTTTCTCTAGTTTCTTTCCTCTGTATATTTCATCTTTCACTCAATCGTTTTGTCTTCTATTTTTTATTCATGGGTAACAACAATAACAAATAACCCTTTCTGCTTTTCTTTAATATCACCTTTGTTTCTCTCTCGGTTCAGTGGCTAACAACAATAAAATCCTAGTTTCGCTCTCATGCTCGCGGTTATGACTCGACACAGAAATAATGACAAGCAACAATAACAACATACTCTTATGGCCCTATTTTAATTCTCACGATTTCAACAATATATACAACAACTACAACAATATATTTGAGGAAAAGAAAAGAGAACTTACTGATGTGTGTTGAAATAATGAATCGTGGAAGTTATGATCGTTGACAGAGCTAGTCTGACGGTTCTGGCGCTGCCTGATGATGAAACAATAACGAAAACTTACGAAAGTGTGTTGAAACAATGAATAGTTGAATTTATGAATCGTTGATGAATGAAGGTTGTAGAGAAATGTTTGTGAAATACATATTTGCGGCGCTGAGAAATGTTTTG